CCTTTAATCTACATTTTTCCATGCAAAAATTAACTTCCATTTAGTTTCAGTAATTTTTTTAACCTCGTATTGCGCATGTTCAGTGTCTGTTGTTTGTCCAATAAGTTTTGTTTCTTTAACACCTAATTCTTTCCTAACTTCTACAAAAGAGACTTTAGCTAATCTCAATTTAGTAGAGTATCCTGGAAGGTTCCATTTAGATAAAACTGATTCATAATTTAAAACAATACTGTCTTTGTAATGTTTTAATGTTCTTTCTTCACTCTCTGGAGTATCAACAGAGATAACAATAGCGTATTCATTGAAAGTTAAGAAAATATAATTTTCAAAATTTTTAATCATCTTGAGTATATTGACTATAATCTCTTCATTTTCCTTCACAAAAAAGAATTTTTGGTATTCGTAATTAGTTTGTAACCAAGTCTTATAATCAGTATCAACCATTTTCTTTTAATGATTATTTTTAGTTTATTTTCCTCCTTAAATGGTCATGTCCCTTCATTTCTAACTAAAAAATGGGGTTTGATAATAGACCTTTCGCTTAAATAATTAGCTAAATTTAATAAATACCAAGAACCTCTTCTTTTCAGCTTTTCATCATTTTGATCACTTTTTAATTTTATAATAACATTTCTATATTTTAGGACGAATTAAGAAAAATCTTATCTCGCAACACACTAACTTTGTTTTTCTTTTAAACACTTGGATTATAAAAGGACGCTTCTTTCGGTTTTGTGATGTGTCTTTATTTTCTTGTTTATGAAAAGATATTGCAACTTCAATAATCTTTCAAACAAAAATTCTCTTTTGACACAGACCATAACTTTCTTATAATTATCAATATTTTCTTTTTATTTCTTATTTTAAAGCAATCAAAAAACAAAAAAGTTTCAATTATGAGATCAGCCTTCAAGTTAATATTCTTCATTGATATAAATAAGAAACACTTCTTTAAAAGGTTCCAATTTGTATGAGCTACCTTCTTTAATAAAAAAAAGAAAAAAGAAAAGAAAAAAGAAACTAAAAAATCGAAAAGAAGATGTGGATATGGGAATGGTTTTGGAATTTATTAGCTGATTTAGGATTAGCATATAAGAGTGGGAAGATGTTATTTTTAGGATTAGACAATGCAGGGAAAACGACATTGTTGCATTTATTAAAAGATGGGAAAGTATCACAACACATTCCAACACAACAACCAACAATGGAAGAGTTAGTTATGGGGAACATTAAATTTAACACATATGATTTAGGAGGACACACCCCAGCAAGAAAAGTATGGAAAACATATTGTACAGAAGTAGATGCAGTGATATATATTGTTGATTGTGCAGCACCAGAAAGATTTGGAGAATCGAAGAAAGAATTAGATTCATTATTAAATGATGAAATGTTATTAAACACACCATTTTTAATATTAGGAAATAAAATAGATATTCCAGGAGCTGTTTCAGAAGCACAATTAAGAGAGGCAATGGGATTAACACACACCACTGGAAAAGGAAATGTATCATGTGAAGGAATTAGACCAATTGAAGTGTTTATGAGTTCAATCGTTAATCGTCAAGGATATCCAGAAGGATTTAAATGGATTTCACAATACATGAAATAATTCTTTTTTTTTTATTTTATTTTTTATTTTATTTTTTATTTTATTTTTTATATCAAAAAGAATAAAAAAGAAGAAAGAAATTTTAAGATAAAACTAAGAACATTGAACTTAAACAATGAGTAAAGAAGATGAAGTTTATGGTTTGTTTATTCTCATTCTGTTTCTGTTCAATATCGAACTAACAAATAGAATATTCAACAGAAATGAAAATCGGTGGAATGATGGTTTTTGGAAGTGTATTCATTGTAGGACTTATTTTACTTATCGTTTATATTAAATTATATAAGCCTTTCCATTCTCCTAAAAATTAATTCTTTTCTTTTCTTCTTCTCTTTTCTTCTTTATAACCATTCAAAAGAAATAGATTTAATCTTTTCTTATTATTTTGAAATTCAAAAGAAAAGATAGATTAAAGGCTAAGATTATCTTAATCAATTCTTTAACAAATTCACAATATAAATATTCTTATCATTTATTTCAAAAACTCATATATTATTTCTTATTCATTTTTTATTCATCTATCATCCTATAAAATATCAATTGATATTCATTTCACAATCAAACATTAGATTCTTCAAATAACTTATTACTCTATTCTATTTATATATCCTATCAATTTACTTTTCATTTGTTATTAAAAAATAATTAATTTCTTTATTTTTTCTCTCTATTTATTAATTTTATTCTCTTTTCTTTTTCTTTTTATTATGTGGGTTTAATTGAGAATTTACAGTTGTATTAAATTAGTATAATTATTATTAATGATTATGAATCGCTATTATTTCGTTATAGTATAATAGTTAATCCTTTATTATTTCTCTTTAAAACGGTTAATCTTTTGAAGCGTTATAGAAATATAAACTGTAGAAATGAATCGATAATAAAAAGAAGCGGCAGTGGAGGTTTACCAATTAAATAAATACCTTTACTTTGAAAGAAATTCCATTGTCATAAATTATTTTATTCAAAATAGTTGAATATATTAAGATATATTAATAGTTCTATGATAAGTTCAGAAATAAAAGAAAATATTTGAGTATAGACAAACCAATAAATATTTCAAAGAGAGTGATAATTGAGTGATATATAAAAATGACGGGTGACGAATAATTTAATAAAGTTATATTAAGAAAACTTAAGATGAATAAAACTGTACTAGTGATATAAAAAAGAGAAAATGAATTTAAGAACAAAATAAAAGATTTCATTAAATAAAGAGTAACTAAACTAAAATAATCATTGTAGAATATTAAGAAAAAGAAAATAAAATTATTCAACTTTTTTTATGAAAGAAAAACTTACAAAAAATGAATAGAATGAAAATAATTTAAAAAGTAAAAATTATAAAAATAAAAAAAATAATTCTTACAGAAATATATCGAAAAATGGGGAAAATAAAAACGTGAATATATTAAATTTTTTAAAAAGAAAAACAAAAATTAAAGAATTTCGTATTGGATAAACTTAATTAATTAATATTTATGTCTAAAAAAGAGTCGCAACAAATGACGTCTGATCCTAGGGTATTTCTTTCAATTTCAAAATCCCTTGAATTAAGGAAAAAGAGGTCTTCTGTTGGGTCACCTTCTTCTCTTCGAACAATGACAGTACTTTCACCTTCATTTACACCTTCCACACCCCGAGCTGAAAGTCCACAACTACCAGAACAAAAAGATGATTTTAAGAGACTTCAGTCATTTATTGAAGTACTTTCTCCAAAATTAATTAATAAAAGTTTGTTTTTTTAAGAAACTATATTTTAATAATAAAAGTATTAATAAAAATAGAAAAATTACAAAAATTAAGTTGGAATGGGATTGCATGGCAATTAAGACATAAAGCATGGAAAATTTTATTAGGACAAGTCCCATTAGACCAAGACAAAGTTGAAGATGTATTAAAACAAAAAAGAACAAGCTATATTGAAATGAGAAAAAAGATGCTAAATGACTTAAGAATAAATGAAGAGAATCATTATATCCAAATTAAAAAAGATTTAATCAGGTCTAATAAAGAAATTCCTTTTTTATTTAATTCAAAAATACAGACAATGATGGAAAATGTATTATTAGTATGGGCACTTAGACATCCAGCATGTGGATATGTTCAAGGGATGAATGATCTTTTAGTACCATTAATATATGTGTATATGACAGAATACACATATGATCAAGAATTAACAGATCAACGTATAAATATAATACCATCTATGTTATTAGAATGTTGTGAAGCTGATAGTTATTGGGGATTAGATTCTATTATGTCACGTATTCAAGATAATTATACATTAGAACAACAAGGAATTATGAATAAAGTTCAAAGAATGGAACAAATTGTTAAAGTTGCTACTCCTGAACTATACCAACATCTTTCTGATAATGGAGTTATGTTTCTTCAATTTGCCTTTAGATGGATTAATTGTTGTTTATTAAGAGAATTTAAATTAGGTACAGCTTTAAGATTATGGGATTCTTATATGTCAGTTGAAGATGGTACTGGATTTAGTGAGTTAAATATGTATTGTTCTGCAAGTCTCTTAACTTATTATTCAAAAGATCTTTTAAGTATGGATTTCTCTGAAATAATTCAATTTCTTCAGCATTTACCTACTGATACTTGGGGTGATGAAGAAATCCAAGTTCTTGTTACTCAGGCTTTTATTTATGAAAATACTTCTGATTTTGCTTCATGTCAATGATTGTAATTCGTTTTATGGTTTAATTCTTTTTTATTTGTATTTTTTTTATTCTATCATCTTTTAGACTCATTCATACAAAATTCTGATCATAGAATGAATGATGAAACCAATAGTAGTGTTTTATTATTATGTTTTCTCAAAACAATGAAAAGGGTAAATAAATATTTCCTTCATTGAATGATTTTTTATACCTTTCAGATTTATTTATATTATTATTTATTTGTTTCATTTGTAAATTTAAATAATCCTTTTTCTTATATATAATTCTAATTAAAATTTATTGTTAGTTTCGTTCAATTTCTATAAATTATTTTTAATATCATATATAATGTGTTAAATTTAGTTTTAAGAGTATTTTATGAATATTTACTTATAATGTATATTTATTTAAGAAGAATTTCATATTTTGCAGCTATTCACAAATATTAAAAATATTTATCTTTTTTTATTTAATAAATATATTATTAAATAAAAATTTAGAATTAATAGTATTAGATTAGTATTCAAAGGAAAAAAGAAAGAAGAATTTAAATAAAAATCATAACTCTATTTTTGTTGTTTTTATAAAATAGAATGAAGGAAAGAAATAATTTTTTAAAGAAAATAATATAATAATATAAAATAGTTTGTTTTAAATAGGAAATAATTTAATGTTTTCCTTAAAAACTGAATAGTTGAACAAAGATCAATTTTTAATGTTGTTTTTTGTTCAAAATTTTGAACTTTTAAATCTGATATTTAATAATTCATCCATATGCTTCACAATAACCCTTATCATTATGAAATTCATAAAGAGAATAAGTACGGACTCCCTTTATTACCAAAAGAAAATTTTGAGACATTATTTACAGAATTAGGAAAACAAAGTATTGGACTTTTATGTCAACTTGACCCAACTCATGCTGAGTTATATCAAAAAGAAATTCCTAGTCTTATTCCAACTGTTCCACAAGAATTTATTGATAGTATGCATGAACTACTTGCTGGTTGTTTTGATCCACAAAGTGAATTATTTAAAATGATGACAAGAAATGTTGTAGCAAAATACTCTGCTATTTTAAGATTTCTATTAGAAAAAAAGTTATACCAAAAAGAATTAGATAATACCTCAATGCTTCCTACTCTTTTTGTTGTTGCCTTACCTAGAAGTGGATCAACATTTACTCATACCTTACTTTCAGCAGATCCAAAAGCAGAAACCATGTGTTTATATGAACATTTAAGTCCAGGAGGAAAAACTATGATTGACCCATCAAGAAGGGCCTTTGGTAATCAAATTATTGCTACAGTCCAAAAAAATAGTGAAGGACTCAATGGAGTTCATGCACTTGTTAATGCTGAAAGGCCAGAAGAAGAATTGTTTTTCTTAGAACAAATGGGTCATTCTTATTTATTTCCTAATTGTGTTCCACGATTAGAGGTATATAGAAAATCAATGTTTGAAAGAGATTTTCATTTTGCTTATGAATATTTAAAAGATCACCTTAAAATGCACCAACTTGAATTTAACGTTGATCAATCAAAACACTATGTCATGAAAGGAGTTTCTCATTTTGTTTCATTTGCACCAATGCTCGATGTTTTTGGTAAATTAGAAGATAAAAATTATTTTATTTGGATTCATAGAGAACCTGTTGATGAATTAAAGAGTAATGCTATTTTAGAACATGAGGCACAAGGATGGTATGAAAATGATATCGGTCTTGATGATAAACAATGGATTTGTGATAACCTTGTTGAAGCTAACTTACTTAATTTAAAGAACTCAGTTGCTATTAGAGAAAGTTGGATTAAAGAAGACCCAAAAAGAGCAGAGAGGATTATTGACATTGGATTTAAAGAAGTTATCTCTGATCCTATTGGAGTGATGAAAAGAATTTATCAAAAAGTTGGAATGGAATTCACAAGAGAGGTTGAAACTAAAATTAATGAGGCGATTGCTGATGATATCCAAAAAAAATTCTCAAAGAAAGTTGACCAATCATTCTGGTTGTTTGATGAAGCAGAGATAAGAGAAAAGTTCAAATGGTATTATGAGAAATTTGGTCAGTACATGCCAAACTATTGGGGAGAAAAATAAGAGAGATCAAATTTAAATCATGTCCTTTATTTAGATTTTTTTCTTTTGTGTTTTCAATAAATAAAGCAGAATAATACATTTTGGAATAAATCACATATTATTAATATTTACAAATATTTCCATATTAAAATATTTTGAAATAATATACAAAACTATAATTATTTAATTATAAAATAATCAAGGTACAACTCTGGTTTGAGTAGTTTTACTTTTTTGAGAGTTTTAGGAATAATTTCTAATATCTATAATTTAATGAATTACCTAATTCAATAATAATTTTTATGAACATTATCTAAGTTATATATTAAATATAAATAGTAATAATAAAATATCAAAAATTTATGATGGTTACGTGTGAATCTATAATAGCAAGTTATGTTCATTTTTGTTATTAGAATTTGTACTTATTCTTAAAAATAATGTACTTGATTTAAAGCTAAAAGAATCAAGTTAATTTGATGTATTCTCTACTAAATTAAAAAATACATACAATTTTATTGCTAAATTTTAAAGTTATGTGGATATTAAAATCTAATATTTATTTAATCATATTTTTCATGAAATTGAATCTATTAAATAACAGGTTACAGTATTACAAAGCCATTAGTTTATTATTACTATAACTCTATAATTATTCTTATATTATTTTTTTTTTTAAATAATAAGTATTTACATAATATTAAATCAATAAAACTAATGCCTAAAAATTCTTTTGAAAAAACAAAAGAAGTTAATCATTTTGTTTTTAATGTTAAATAATAACCATTTTAGATATATCCAGTACATTTATTGTTCATTGAAAAATGATTAATACTGGCTTATTATCATAGAGATTATAAGAAACAATGTTCTATTCAATTATTTATTGTTTCTTAATTCTAAAAGTTATTGAAAATTCTAATTTTTGTTAAAAAAATTCTATAGTAAAATTTATAAAACTAAAAATAGATTAGACATTTGACAATAATTTATTCTATTTTATTTATTGCTTATTTATCATATTTATTAAGGAAATTTATATAGTACTTTTTGATTTATTATATTTCTAAATTATTAGTGATTTAATTAGTTATTATAATGACTGTGATACATTCAATATATTTTATCAATGACCTAAATATTCACATCAGACATTCTTTATCTATTTTAATTTTTACAATAACAACAAGTATTTTAACATATTTTTATAATTTTAATGAATAAGCACTGATATTATATGTTAATTTGTGATTTCAGATATTGATTATAAATTTCAATCAATTCAAAATATTTTACTGATATTTTAATGCTAATTTGAAATAGTTCTTAATGTTATTATTAAATGAGCTAATGATAAATAAATTTATTGATATTTCATTCATATTCTTTAATAACATTATAATACTATTTATATTAATATTATTCATTGTTTATTATTTTGTTTATCTCATTCTCAATAATTATTGGATATATTATACTATAAACCAAATTAATCATTTGATAAAAGTATCAATAAATTATAATGTTTTTAAGTATTAAATAATTTTAATAATTAGTTTATGGTTCCATTGTAAAATTCTTAAAGAATAATAATCCCATTTGATATTCTTTACTATTGTAATTTACTTTTATATTAAAATATAAATCAATATATAAAAAAACAAAACGAATACAATCTTAGATTGAACAGATAACCTTTATATTTCACTTTTCTATTAGTACGATGCACTATATAATATCATATGAACTACTCTTTTTATTTAATATGTTAATATTTTAATTTATTTTTATTCAGTTAAAACAAAATTATAAAAAAAGATAGCCATATCATTCTATTTATAACGATATTATCATACTTGATAATGTCAATTTTTTTATAGTAACATTTGTTCTTTTTATTTATAGTAGCTGATAAGTAATGAAGACATAATTTTATATTATCATTTATCTGATTAAACTCTTATTTCGTTTATTATCTTATTATTGTATATTTGATATAGTATATTTATCCATTTATCTAGATTATTTCCTAAATGTAGATTTAAAATAACTTTAGAAGTAGTTAATTCGTTAACAATAGTTAATAAAAATAATATTAAAACGATATATTAATACTTTTGAAATCCTAACAAGAACTTCAATATAATAATATTTTAAAATAAATAGTTATTTTTATTTTTTTTAATATAACTTCTTATTAACTCATCTTTTCATATAATAAAGTATTTAATTCAAAATAAATATTTTCTTATTCCATTATTTAAGTTTAGTTTATACATATTATTTTTTTTTTTTGGCAATATATTCTTTGTAGAATCTTCAAACATAATCATCAAACGGTAATTAAATTTGATGTTGGGATGAATCTCGTTGTTAAAGATAATAATTTTCTTATTATTTTGTTAGTATAATAACAGAATTTTTAATTGTTATTTAATACCAAATAAAGCAAAAAAACAAAGAAACAGAGTATTTGATTAATTAGGAGTTCTATATTTCTTCTTTTTAATGTAATTGAATTTTATTTTAATAAATCTATTTCACTATATTTTATCATTCTAAAATACTCATTTATTTCAACTCCTTTAAAAGTTGTTTTTTTTCTTTATACTTAATACTATTAATGTAATAAATAACACTATTATTATCCTATAAAATGATTCTCAACATTTTTAACATAGGAGTGTATTATTTTATATTCTATTTACTCTTTTATTTTCATTAGTAATACTAATACTACAATTATTTTTAATAGTGTTTATTAAACTCTATAATTACTTTTATGTTATGTATCAAAACCATAATAATTCAAACACTTCTTTTTATTACTAACGATTCATTTTCTTATGGATGTAATTTAATTTCTTCATTTCCTGAATACATCTTTATTTAATAATTAGTTATTTATCTTTCATATATATTTTATTTGTTTATGAATTTTTCATAATGGTATAATAAATTAATAAAGTAATATTTACAAATATTTCAATTACCAATTTTTCTTCTACTTTATTTGTTATTTGTTTCTTTTTATTAAACAACAATATAAAACAATTTGTACAATCAAAGTGAATAAACAAAACTAAAACAAATTATAATAAACAAATCAACACAAGAAATCAAATTAGTGTTATTCATTGTGACCATTAACATCATATTAAATAATTATCTTAATAATGTTGAATACATGTTATTTGTTGTTTTTTTGTAATTGTATACTTTTAAAATTAACATTATTTTGGTTTGTTTTATGACTTATCAGATACTATTTTGTCATAGAATTTATTATAAACACCATTTTCCATTACTAAATCAACAAATACAACACTCTACTTATTGAAATATTGTTATTTAGTATTTCCAACATATTTATACTGTTAAAATAATCATAGTTATTATTATAATGATTAATTTAATACTTTAATATTCATTCATTGATAACATCTATTCTTTTTGATAACAATGGTTAATAAACACCATCA